ACATGTTTAGCCCCACCCTACAAAGAAGTTGCTCCTTCTGAGATTTGTCAGCCCTTGCCCCGTAAGCTAGACTTGTCCTCTTCACTTCCTTTCTTCTGCCGTTCCTTAATCCCCATTCCGTCAGGTTTCAAAGACACAAATACTGAAACCATCATTTGCCTTCTTTTTTATTCTTTGTATCTAATCCACCATAGTATCTTCTGATGAGGTTTTCTTTTTGTAAATACATCTTTCAGATAGGTCTTTCGTCTCCTCTCTTTATAACACCATCCTCCAGATAGATCTTTCCCATTACATGTAAGACTTCATATATCTAAACTAGTGACTCTGTCTTCCACTTCACCAAATGTGTAAATGTCGCCTCTCCTATGGGAGGCACCCCAATGATACTACATCTGTCATAAAATATTTGTTTTTAAAAACGCACGATGCAGGGTTGGAGATATGGCTTAGTGGTCAAGAGCACTTGTTTCTCTTCTAGAGGAGCTGAGTCCAGTTCCCAGCTTCCACACCAGGCAACTCAGAATTGTCTGGAACTCCAGCTCTGGGGGATCCAATGCCTTTGGCCTCCTCAGACCTGACACTCACATGCATAGCTACATGCAGACAACACACCTACACACGACTGAGAAAACTATTTAAAAAACAAACCTATGGTAGTATCAGATGTGGTGCTAAGGGCATAACTGAAACCAGGACAAATAACGCTTCACCTTGGAGCTTACATTCTAGTAAGGGAATGGAGACACAAACAGCAGTAGAACAAGAAATAACAAGGAGGCTCCAGGCAGTACAGTAATGAAGAGGCCAGAGCGTGGGGGTGGTGATGGTAGGTGGATGTCAGAAGCATGGCTTTGACCATTTGACCTTCTAGGTTCCTCCTGCCCATCAGATCTGACCTCCCTACAGTCCATTGTCCTCACATGAGCCTCTGTTTTCAATGTTCTCGTGAGTTCTAATTATGGGTGTGCTAGACGTACAATCCCTCTCCGTGTGTGCTAGACGTACCATCCCTCTGTGTGAATAGGCTCTTTGGTGGAGTGATTTACAAAGTGAACATCTTACTCTTCTTCCTGAGCCTGGAATTTGACCTCAGATATTTATTAGGGTTTCAGTAGGTGACTGTTGAGCAAGCAAATGAATAGCTGAATCATTTCAACATCCTCTTCAATAGTTCCCATTGCTGGTCCTTTCCCATTCAGTGACTCTTGAATTGTGCAAGACACTGTTTTCGTCTCTTAACCTCCCTCTATTTAAGAACTCTTGGTGACACCTTATACTTTCCCATATACCACATCAAGCCTAAACTGACCAGACTCTCTCTATTAGATCCCTCTAATTACTATTGACCACCGCTTCCTGTAGAAATCTTTCTGAGAACATCAGCTTGCTCATCTAATTGTCTCTAACCACTACTTTGATCATATCCTACTAAGTTTATAGAGACATTAATGGGATTGAATGCATTTAAGCATATTTGTCAAGCCCTGGCTATATGTCAGTCACTGTGGTAGACATGGACATGCTCAAGTGATTGGGAGGGTCACGGTCCCCACCCTCACAAAGGAGACAGTGTGCATGAGGCGAGTTGAAAGTCCTGCAGAGAGCTAGCCAGAAGTTAGGAGTAATGCTACTTCCTCCCATCTCGACGCTTCTTGGTGAGGTGGCTCACCCTCTCTGAAGGGCTCTTCCTCTCTGCTTCCGACTACACTTGTCCTTAGAGCCCTAGATGACGTCACACCAGCTGTGGTAGTGAGGCACATGCCACTCACATCTGTGCCTCTCGGATTAGTGCTTACTCTCCACCAGTCCTTACTAACTGTTCTCCAAATGTTACCTCCACCACTGCACAGTCTATAAGCGCTGGAGGAAAGGAACTGCTGTATCTCTCCAGCACCTCAAGTGTCTCCGGGTACTTCCTGACCTTCTCGTATAATAGTATCACCTGTGCGAATGTCATCCTCTCCACATAGGGATCCTGGGAGAAATGGAAGAAACAGAGACAGTATCCAGAATGCAAAAGAGTGCCTGTAGAATTAGGCAGCAGAATTAGAGCGAACAGAAAATGGAAAGGGGTAGTTAAAACACATGAAAGAGGATATCCAAACACCAGTGAAAATGTATTGTCCTATTAGATAGAGGTCAGTTGAAAGCAGATCAAACCACAGAGATCTAGTCACACCCACCACATGTCTGAAATCAATGGTGGTGACACTGAATGTGAACAGAGATGTAAAGTGACTAGAACTTTTTTTTTCAGAAAATTTTTTATTAAAAATTTCCACCTCCTCCCGTTTCCCTCCCCCTCCCCCCTCTCTCTCCAGTCCAAAGAGCAGTCAGGGTCCCCTGCCCTGTGGAAAGTCCAAGGTCCTCCCCGCTCCTTCCAGGTCTAGGAAGGTGAGCTTCCAAACAGACTAGGCTCTCACAAAGCCAGTCCATGCAGTAGAATCAAAACCCAGTGCCATTGTCCTTGGCTTCTCAGTCAGCTCTCATTGTCAGCCACATTCAGAGAGTCTGGTTTGATCACATGCTCCATCAGTCCCAGTCCAGCTGGCCTTGGTGAGCTCCAATTAGATCAGCCCTGCCGTCTCAGTGGGTGGGTGCACCCCTTACATCCTGACTTCCTTGCTCATGTTCTCCCTCCTTCTGTTCCTCATTTGGACCTTGGGAGCTCAGTCCAGTGCTCCAATGTGGGTCTCTGTCACTATCTCCAACCCCAAAACAGACAAAGGTCTGATGTCCAAAATATATAAAGAACTCAAGAAACTAGACTTTAAAATGATAATTAACCCACCTAAAAATGTGGCACTGAACTGAACAGTGACTAGAACTCTTATCATGAAAACAGGAGCGTAGACACAGCAGCCCTTTAAAGACATAGATCGCCATGACTATGGTAGGGAAAATCCTAGCCTACATGATTCTGCTACAGAAATGAACTCATCCCAGGATGCTATTAACCTAAGCATTCAGGAAACTGGGAAAGGGGATCAGAAGGAGTTCAAAGTCAGCCTGGCTACATAATAAGACTTTATCTCAAAAGAAAAGGAAAGGAAGAAAGGGAAAAAAAGAAAAATATAAAAAATGAAATAATAGGAAAGGACACGACTGTTCCTAAGTATGGTGAGAGAGAAAGTTTATTTAGTTATGGGACATCTTGGAGAGTCCAGAGTGGACACAGCCCTGAGTCATGTGAGGGGAGGTAGGAGGCAAAGGGAGAGGAGGAGAGGGGAGCCAGATGCAGTGACCAGGAGCCCAAAAGGGAATAGATGAAAAGATCAGGTTACCAAAATGGTTAGATTATATAGGGAAAGGCAGCCCAGCCCCAGGGCTGGAGAAGTTTAGGGCAGGGGCTGACGTATGCTAGCCTGGGGGATCCTGTAACAGGTAGGGGTGAAGAATGCTGGAGAACTTGGGGGCCAGCTCTGCTTTGATATGTTAAATAGGCACCTCAGCCATTTATCCTGGGTTTGAAACCTAAATCCAGCATGGTTCACAACAGCTCAAAAAAGAAAACAATCCAAAAGTTCACCAAGTGAGAAAAGAAAAAAACAATATATTGTGCTGTATACATACGGTGAAAAGTTGTTCAAATATGAAGCCCAAAGAAGTCAGCCTACGCACCATAGCAAGCTTCCAGAAGAGCAATGCTAAGCGAAACAGAGCCAGACACTAAGTCCGTCATGCTGAATGACTATATTTACACAAAGTTTGCAGTGAGGAAAAAACCAAGGTGTAGTATCAGAAATCAGGAAAGCACCATCACTAGGAAGGAGGGAGGAGGTTGAGAGTGAGCAGTACCAGCATTAATTGGCATTCTTTATGCTAATCTCATTGGTGTCCACTTTGTGATCATTTATTAAGGTGTATACTTGTGATTTGGATACTATACTTTTGCTTAAATAAATGATATATATAAGATTGCCCAGCAAACCACGTGGTGTTTCTAGGGCATTTAAAGTATGTGACTCCCAGTGACTATCAAAAAGGCTGAATAAAAACTCAGAGCTGCTCCTCCAAATGTGAGGATGCAATTGTCTAAGAACAGAGAAAGTGAAGCTGGGAACCTGCAAAGAACTGAACTAGGCCCTCTGAATGTGGGTGACAGTTGTGTGGGTTGGGCAGTTCGTGGGGCCACTGGCAGTGGGATCAGGCCTTATTCCTAGGGCATGAACTGGCTTTTTGGAGCCCATTTCCCATGGAGAGATGCCTTGCTCAGCCTAGATACAGGGGCAGAAGGCCTTAGTCCTGCCTCAAGGTGATGTAACAGACTTTGTTGACTCCCTATGGGAGCTCTTACCCTCTCTGAGGAGCAGATGAGGGGTGGGGTAGGGAGGAGGTAGGGGATGGGAGGGAGGAGCAACTGGGATTATTATGTAAAATTTAAAAAAAGATTGTTTAAAGAAAGTAAAATTAAAAAATAAAAAGAACAGAGTAACTGAGGGAAACAGTTGTGATAAGGAACATGGGCTCTGGTTTCAGACTGTGCTCAGAGTAGACTAAGCTGTAGGTCTGGCCAGACGCGGTGCATCCTTGTGTACTTCTTTAACCTGTTTGTGCTTCATTTTGTGCATCTGTTTAAAAAAAAATATGTTGCATAAAAAGATTGGAGAGATAGCGCGGCAGTTAATGCTAAGTATTCGATCTCTGATTATTGGGTTCCTCCGCTGCTGATGAAATAAGCCAAATCAAACCAAATTAATAAATCCAGATTTAATAAACAGAGCAACACAAAGCAAGGTGAGATCACATGGCCAGATCTGTGGGCCTGGTCTTAAATAACCTGTGGGCGGTCTTGAGCAGTTCTAAGGGAGGAGTTGCTGGTGGCCTTTCTCAGGGATGGGATCTGGAATTGGAGGAGCTGGGCTGGGGGAAGCTTCCCAACAGTTAAGAGCTTTTATTTTTGCAGAGGACCAGAGTCAATTCCCAGTACCCAAGTGGTGACTCACACCATCTGTAACTTCAGTTCCATGAGATCCAAAGCAGCTCTCTTCTGATTTCCACAGGTGCCAGGCACACACACTGTGCACATGCATACCTGCAGGCGAAGCAGTCATACATATAAAATCAGATAAATGAAAAAAGTGCATAAAAGCTCAAGTTCATCAAGGAATCCTAAACGTTGCTGTTTGTAGGAATCCATAAACCTTAGATGGTGAAGGAACTTACTGAAGAAAAGCTACATGAATTCTACAGACGTTAGGTAACTTCTCATGGTCACTTAGGACTTGGCAGGCAGGCCAAGGCTTGCCCACAGGCTGCCTAACCTACAATCCATCTCCTTCTGCTACTTAGATTTGCAACCTTACACAGGGGATACCCCGGCATATTTCTTTATTGCTCCATTGCTGTAGAACATCCAGTTTCGGGGTCTATACATCCTAATGGAAGACAACCCAAATAGCAAAGGGTTCTTCAAGGAAACAGGCTTAAAATCTACCTTTCCTTCCACCCCAGCTTCACCCAGAAGACTTCCTGCTGAATCAGAGGCAGCACTGATGACTCCTGGGATTTTGACAAGCCCATTGAAGATGCCAATGTCCTGAATACCCCCTGATCAAAGCCTTCCAAGAGGGCAGGTGGAGGCCAGATCCCCAAAGCCAATCAGAACCACCTGATAATTACACCTAAGACCCGTTCTGCATGCCCGCTGAGCCACAGGAAAGGCCACGCCACTTGTACCATCCCTGATGCTCTTACTCACAGAACATAGGAAGTCAGGAATGCTGGTGGACAGAACTTTGACCTTGCCCACTTCCCTGCAGAAACGTGACTGCTTTAGCAACTTCATTTCGGGTCATCTTGTCTACCTGATTTTCTGGATTGAGGAAAATAAAAATCACCCCACCCCCAACACCTAGAGAAACAGCACACCGTGTTCTCACCAAAGACCATAACGTGACTCTTCTCCTGGGAGAACCATCTTTAGAGGCATCTACATGTGAAGTATAAATCCATTATTCCTCAAATATCCTAAATTTTATCCGGAGTTGAAACTGTTTTGTTTTGTGAGACAAGGACTTGTTATGTAGTCTAGGCTAGCCCTGAACTCACTCTATAGCCCAGAGTAGACTAGACTTGCAATCCTGCCTCCTTGTCTTTGTTATGCCCAAATACGTGAAGTCCCCCAAAAGCCAACAAGGAGACCGAGTCCCATATGTAAAAGCAAAGAGCCTTTATTTTAATCAAGTTTGCAAACTCGGTCTCTCCGCATGTCCAATGTATTGGAATAAACAGAGAGCCCTGAGCTCAGTTAGAATATGGTTTTATTGTAGTAAAGGTGGGGGTGAGGGGTTTCTGAGGTCCAGGACCCCTGATTGGCTGTCACTTGTCTAGGGGTGTCCTGGTGAGTGTATGCTGGCAGGTGGTCCTATCAAAAAGGTTGCATTTCCTTTGGATGGTCTGTTTTTGGGCGGTGCTCAGGTAATCTCAGTTTGTGGTTCTTCCTGCAACCAGGTATTGCTTCAGGGTAAACTACTGAGACTCAGGCCTCTGTTAAATTTATCCATGGCTGAGTCTTACTCTGGCAGGTGATAATGGTTGGAAGTAAAGTACTTCCTTTGAGTGATCTCTCCATATTTAGCTTATCATGGCTGGCTCCTTCAGTCTTCTCAAGTAATGGGACTAAAGGTAGGTGTGTGTGTCACCAAGCTGGTTTGGAATTTTAAATTTTAATGCAGCTAGAAGAGGAATTGTATTAATCTGCATGTTTCAGAACTGCCTTCTCTGTGCTACATATTAAAGTCGCATCCTCAGGTTTTACGCTCATTGAATAAAACTCAATCACACCATAACTATTCAGGACACATGACATAGTCACTGCCTTGGCTGGCAAAACACTGTAGAAAACTTTGCCCATCTATTTTAGCATAAGAGTCACACTTACATACAAGATATTCTTTTTCAGACGTCAATATTAAAAAATCTCTTGTTCTCAACAAAAAGGATGGAAGGTCTATTACTTTCCAATTCTGTGAGCAAAGGGCTGATTGTTAGAAAAAAAAAAATCCTAAAATGGGCGGCTCCACTGGCACAAAGAAATCCAATTAGGTCAGATTAAAGCAAATAGAGTGCCCACGTTTTATTAAGTACAGCACTCTTGGGTGGCCGAGCGCATGGCGGGGAGACAGGAAAGTGGGGAGCACATGCAGACCTGGAACCGCTTGTTCGTCCTCTGGGAGCCCACTTAAGGATTTGGAGTCCAGACCAGTGCAGCTCCCAGGCCAGGGTGCTGGGGTGGATGCCGGGGGCTGGAGTTATGCTCTCGATTTAACACCGATGATTGTGCTTCTCCTGGGGACTGCTGCCAGAAAACTCTGACCCAAGACTGGGGTGCAAGGACAGCAATTGTGTTGAACCTCGGGGTTGGCAAATTGAACCCCCATTTCTCTACTTCTCTTTTTTATTTTACTGTTCTGCGGTGACACGTCTTATTGCTCTCATTGTGTTTTCCCCTGCCTCTGTGCCTGTAGCCACGATGCTCACTTTGGCTGGAGGAGCAAGCTGGATTTCCTCTCAGTCAAACTTCATGCTCTCTCTCGGGAGCCTTTCCGAGTGTTTTATTTTCTATTCCTCTGATAAAGCACTGGTGGCTAAGAAGGAGCTACCCGTCAGCTCCCAGCTCTGGAGATTTGAAGGAACAAAACAAAGCACCAGCATCTGATCAGCTCTGGTTAGAAGATTATGCGCCAGCAGCTCCATACTTGGGCCTCCGGAGCCAGTCACATGGTGTTGTGAGGAGCTCTCATTGGCCTGGGGCTGCTGGTAGGCCTAGGGGGATCTGTCTGTTGCTGTCCCCATCCCAGCTGAAGTTACAAGCTTGCCTCACTATACCTGGGCTGCTTCTTGTTTTTTAAACGTGGCTTCTGGGGCTTTTTTTTTTCTTCAAAGCAGAGTTTCACTGTGTATCCCTGACAGACCCAGCACTCTCTCTAGAGATCAGGCTGGCTTCAAATCCACAGAGCTCTGCTTGTCTCTGCCTCCCTAGTGCTGGGATTAAAGGCCTGCACCCCACTGCCCTGCTAGGTATAGCTCTGGAGATCTTAAGTCAGCAAGCACTTTCCTGACTGTGTTACTTCCCCAGCCCTGAACAATTCTTAATACTAAAATAAAATAAAAATCTTCCTTCCAGGCTCATGATAATTAAGATGGTTAGAACCAAACAGAAAAAGCCCCTATATTAGCTGCTTTGCTATTTCTGTGATAAAATACCAGAACAACTTATAGAAGGAAGGGTTTAATTGGGCTCACAGCCCCAGAGTGCTAAGAGTCATTGTCATCAGGCTGGGAAGCATGGAAACAGGGGCAGCAACTGAAAACTAAAGTCAAGAAAGAAAAAGGTAAATGTCTTAGAATTAAATAACGATGAAAACACTACATCCTAAAACCTAAGTCATAGAATGTAGGTGGTCCTAAGAGGGACGTCCATAGCTCTGTGTACCTATATCACAGTCTCACGGACGTCCATAGCTCTGTGTACCTATATCACAGTCTCACGGACGTCTATAGCTCTGGGTACCTATATCACAATGGAAGTCTATAGCTCTGTGTACCTATATCACAGTCTCACGGACATCTATAGCTCTGGGTACCTATATCACAATGGACATCTATAGCTCTGTGTACCTATATCACAATCTCATAGACGTCTATAGCTCTGTGTATCTATATTACAAACCCAGAGAGATTTCAAATATATTACTTAAGTGTGTACTGTAAGGCCTTAGAAAAACATGGGGAAATCAACCCCAAAAGTAGTACGCAAAGAACTAGCAGAACTAAACATGAAAGAAAACAAACAAACAACAACAGCAAAAAACAACCCAGCCAAAAATGAGGCTATGAAGTGGGACAGAGTTCTCCAAAGAAGAAATGCAAAGTCAGTGGTGGTGGCGCGTGCCTTTAATCCCAGTCCAGGACAGTCAGGGTTGTTATACAGAGAAACCCTGTCTCAAAATAACAAAAAGACAGAAAGACAGGAAGGAAGGAAGGAAGGAAGGAAGGAAGGAAGGAAGGAAGGAAGGAAGGAAGGAAGGAAGGAAAAAAGGAAGGACGGAAGGAAGACAAATGGCCTAGAAACATGTTTAAGAGTGTTCGGCATCATCTTTCGGCATCATCGTTCGGCATCAGAGAAATGCAAATTAAAACTGCTCTGAGAACCCCTCTCACTCCAGTCAGAATAGTTATCATCAAGGAAAAAAATGCCAACGACTGTTGTTGGAGATGCGGAGAGCATAAACCGGTGCTCACACCATGAAAGTCAGTGTGGGTGACTTAGAAAATAAAAACAGAACTATCATGTGACCCAACTATACTGCTCCTTACTATGTGCCCAGAAGACACCACACCCTGCCAGAGATGCTTGCACATCATGTCCGCTGCTGCACTATTGACAATTCCCAGCAAACAGAATGAACATAGATGTCCGTCCACTGATCAGTGGGTAAGGAAATGTGGTACGGTGTAACTGCTTTGCTCAGCAGCACAGAAGAGTGAAATTGTGACGTTTGCAAGAAAGTGGATGGAACTGGAAAATATTCTACACAGTGTGCGAACCCAGTCCCAGAAACACAAACACTCTCTGTTCCCTCCATTCAAGTTCTTAGAAGTGTTCTAAGTTGGAGAAGATGTTTAATGAGGCTGGGAAGCAGGAAAAGAACCAGGTGAGGGAGGAGAGATAATAAAGACAGGACGGATGGTGAAAGCATGTGTGGTATGAAGGGAGAAAAAATGGAGGTGGAGGCTGGGGATAAGGAAAGGAAAAGGTAACGAGAAAGGTTTGCACAAGCTGAAAATGTGTGAAAAACCCATACAGGAAAAAACCGAATACTTTATAAGTTAACTAGGAAATAGAATTTGAAAAGAATTTGAACAGAGGTGTCTTGCATGGTTGGATCTTCCCAGCTTTGTTTTGTGTGTGTGTGGTGGGGGCAGGGTTGTTTTTGGTTTGGGTTTTTTATTTTTGTTTTTGTTTTATTTGAGACAGGATTTCTCTGTGTAGTCCTGGCTGTCCTGGAATGCACTGTGTAGATCGAACTGACCTCAAATGCAGAGATCCTCCTGCCTCTGCCTCTTGAGTTCTGGCACTAAAGGAGTGTACCACCAAGCCTGGCCCTATCCATAGTTTTCTAAAATGAAAACCCAGGGTCAGGAGAAGAGTATGTCTCTAATAGTTATTTGAGGTTTGCTCCATAGCAGGAAATATTAGGCCTGGTACTGCAAACCTTGTCAAAATCCTATTGCTGGAGGTGGCACTGCTAGGGGAAGCTTTCCACAGGTGTTTTGCTAAGTGGCCATGTGGTCAAACTGCATTCTGCGTGCTTGTGTTTCTAGCTACAGACTAGCGCTGTTGTCGGCTGTGCTCACAGAAGCTGCTTGACTCAGAATGAGTGGAGCTGCTCCCAGGGTCTTCTGGTTCAGGGCTCAGGGCTCTCTTCTGGCATCCATGACTCTAAACAGCTTGGGATTCCTGATGTCTCTCTGGGGTTTTCATCTCTTTCTAACTGCTTAATCTTTAGCCTTGCTGTGTGCTGTCCTTGAGTCTCAAATTTTATCCCTATTTCCTTCCATTCTGGGCCGAGAAAGACTTTATGCCCGTGTGCTAGGGCTTTGTTACTTGTGACACCAGCCAAAAGAGCTAGCTGGAATGACTCACTTCCTCGCCTTTGTGATGTAGTTGTTGAAGGATTTTCCTCAGTTCTTCCAGAATTATTTACATTCTATGAGGGAAGAATAAGAAAGAAAAATAACCTTTTAATCACTGTTTGCTTTTCCTTCATTTACGTCTTCTGCCTAGACATAAAATGTTCTCTTTTCTAGCTACAGGTTTGGGTTTTTTGTTTTTTGTTTGTTACTTCATTGGATAATATTTTCTGGGAGTATTTTTTTCCTGTCTCTCTCTTCAGATTTATGAAGGATCAAATGTAGTCTGATTAGCTTGAGGCTGCCAGTCCTTGAACCCCAGCCTCACTTCCTTCCCCCACACTCAGGGAACTCTGCCGGCCTGGAGCTGGAAAGCAGGTTAATGGACCACCCAGGAAGCCAGAAGCAAAGCATCCAGGATCCAAGGTCTGGCCATTCCCCACTACCATGGTGGAGAAATCCATCAATTACTTGCCTTGCCAAGAGCCACATTTCAAAGCTCAGAAATGTTTTTGTGGCTCCAGAAGACACCTGTCTCCATGGGTTTATTGTTTTCTGTGTACTTCTCCCCTACGGACTGAATAGCCTATATCAACCCTGCTCCACATTAAGCAAAATTTTAATCCACATGCTCTGTGTCCCCTCAATGAGACACATTGAGTCTTGAGTGTCATTTCTCAGCATCCAAAAGTAACCTTCTAACTCTCCTAACTGCTGCTAAGGAGGACAAATGGAACTGTCCAGGCTATAGACAAAGCATTCCTCATTGTGTACATGTTTATACTTTGAAATCACAGGGCATTCTTCCTAACAATTGTTACTAAAATATAGTATTACTCCATCAACCATCAATCATAAGCACCTGTTTTCTTTCCCACCTCTCACTGATGACCGTTTCACGTATTGGCCACCAGACTAGCTAGAGCTCATTCGCCCAAGCAAAGGAACAAACCTGCTTTCCTTTCTGGGGTGATAGAGGATGATCCTAAGAAAGCTGAATCTGCTTGTGTTCTGGAATTCATTTTCTTTACCTTCTTTTAAACTTTTAAAAATTCTTTGCCCATTTTATACGTATGTGCAATGTATAAACGTGCCCCTCTAGCCTTCATACACTCTTTTAAAAATGTGTAACACACTGGGTTCAAATAACACTTCCTGAAAGAGTATGGACAACCCACCAGTAACGACACTCCCAAAGAAAACTTATTCCTCCTTACCCGGGAACTATCAGTCGCCAATAGTTTCTAATTCGAGCTCCTCCCCATTTCTTTCTGACTCTTCTTCTGTGATTTCCCCTGGTCTTGGCCAAGGGTTCGTTAATATAAATATCTCATTTAGGGTTGAGCTTTTATAGCTACTTATTCTTAATACTTTGACCAGTTATGAGTCTCAGCACTCATTGCTTCCCAATGCAAAAAGCAGATTCTTCAAACAAGACTGAGAGAAGCCTGGGTCTGTGAATACACACATAAATATTTAGAAGGCAATTTGATTACATGTCCATTTAGCAAAAGAGTAGTGATAGGTCCCCCTACTATGGCCTATGACCTCTTCAGCTAATGGGCTTACAGAACTAGACATAAGTTCTCTACTGTATAACAGGCCTCACATCCAATCAGAAGCAGTCAGTTACCCACATACTAGCCATGCCCCTAGTACATCAGAGAGTGTATTTTAGCGGTAGATCAGTACCTTAGCATGCAGACTTCACCTTTGGCTAAATGAATTGATAGCTTTTCTTTACTAATGAAAAAAAATTCATTTTTCTGTCCCACTGGTAAAACTCAGTTGCATGTAGGCACCATGTTGTTATTACTCATTCATCAGCTGGCAAACGTCTAGGCGGGCTCCATGTCCTAGATACTGTCAATAGAGTAGCAGTGAACAGGGACGACCAAGTGTCTCCGCGGTAGGACCTGGAGTCTTTCAGGTATATGATGGGCAGTGGAGAAGCTGGGTCCCATGGGAGTTCTCTCCGCAGCACCTCGAGACCCCTCCATCTGCTCGCATCTCCACCAGCAGTGTTTAAGGTATCACACTCTCGCCAGGGTTTGTTGCCGTCTCTGTTCCTGATGATGACCCTTCTGAATGAGGTGAAGTAAAGTCTCAGAGTAGTTTTAGTTTACATTCCTCTGAAGGCAAATGATGTTGAACACTTTTAAAAATGTTAATTGTGGCGGAGGGGGAAGCCGGAAAGATGGGTCAACTATTAAAAATATGTGTTGTTCCTGCAGAGGCCCTGGGTTTGTTTACTAGTACCCAAGGTGTGGCTCACAACCATCTATAACTCAGGTAACAAGGGTTCCAATGCCTTCCTTTAATGTCTACATGTACCAGGCACACCCATAATGCATATACATAATGCAAGTCAAACACACACATAAGATGAATAAAATAAATATTTTTAAATTAAAATGTTTATTTACCCTTTGCATTTCTGTTTTTAAGACCTCTCTGTTTAGTTATATAGCCCGTGTTTGGAATGGGTTTCCTTCAGTCTATCTACTAACCTTCTCTTAGATGTATAGCTGGTGAAGACTTTTCTCCATTCTTTCAGCCGCCTTAACACTTGGTTGATATTCCTTGATGTACCGAAACATTTAATTTCATGAGATCCCATTTGCTGGCTATTTGGTCTGTTTCCAGATCACTGGAACTCTTGTTCAGAAGGACCTTGCCTGTACTGTGTCTCACAATGTGCTCCCTACTCAGATTCAAAGCTGGGATGGAGCATCATGGTCACAAGCCTCTAAAGCATGATTGCTTTTACTAATAAAACTAACATGCCTCTCCCCACTGAATCAGCAGCATCCGCATACATTCTTATGTTGAAGTTCTGCTTCTTCCCCGAGTCCCCTTAAAAAGCAAAAACAAGTCATGCTGTATGATGCTGTGAAAAATAATTTTAAAACAAAATCTTTCCATTTAAAAGTGAGCAGTGGGGGCTCAGCTGATAAGACTCCCTGTTGCTCTCTCAGAAGAAAACAGTTAAGTTGTGGTACCCAACTCACAACCACCCATCACTCCATTCTAGGGAGTCCTGTCCCCTGCTCTCTGTGACAAACACTTATATACATGATTATACATAATATACGTTATATACATTCTAGGGAGTCCTGTCCCCTGCTCTCTGTGAACACCTGCACACATGAGACATATACACACAGAGACAAACACTCATGTACATGATACATTATATACATTCTAGAGAGTCCTGTCCCCTGCTGTCTGTGGACACCGGCACACATGACGCATGTACACAGAGACAAACATTTATAAACATGAGTAAAGAAAATAAGTTAAATCTCTTTAAAAAATAAAAATGGAGGGGGAATATACTGCCTTAGTGGAAACTAACAGAGGTTTGGGTGGTGAGATCGGCCACTACAGCTTGATATACAGACAGTAAGTCCATTTGGTAGCTGAAGGGTGTAAGATGGTATGAAGACACAACTGCCATTTAACAATTCCATGAATATTTATTGAACACTCTCTAGGTTCTTGGTAATGACTTAGATGCTGAAGATAGGGGTAAAAAAGTCTCCAACTATGGAGAATTCAGATAGTGGAGAAAGTCAAATATCAGATGACCCCAATATGACATCAAAGTACAAGCAGAAAAATAGAATACCAGTAAGTTCATAAGTTCATGAACAGTATGTCTGAAATAACTTGTCGTTGTGATGTTAGCACAAAAATTTCTTCAAATCATAACTTACCCATCTGTAAAATGAAAACGATAAAATGTATTACTGTGTATGATCATACAAGGCCAGAGAGATAGCTCAGCAGGTTAGGCTTGATCTCCCACTGCCAGAAAGCACTTGAGGGGAGGAGATAACCAGCTCCCACGAGTTGTCCTCTTACTTCTGTATACACGGGACACAATTGCCCACATATATACATCACACACATACATAAAAATGGATTAATTAATTTTATAAAGAAGCTTCATACAGTAGTAGGTATGTAAAAATATAACAAATACATATATATATAGTTTTTTCTAGTATTTTTGATATAAATATACACATGAGTTCTGTATACTTTAGAAGATACCTATCTTTAAGCAACATGAATGAGTTACAGATGAAAACTAATCAGAATATAATGAAAACTTCAGTAAATAACAAAAAAACATGAATAAAACAGGCCATATTTTCAGGGATAATATTTCAGGGATAATATTAATAAGAGATAAAGACATCAAACCACTTGAAAACTCGAAGAGATATCTTTTAAAAACATACCAAAATGAAACAAAATGCAATTATGACAACATTTTAAATAATGTTGACAGTAACTATAATATTAAATCTCTAGGGGCAGCTTTAAACTAAACAGGAACACATAAATATGGACTAAGCTAAGCATGCAATAAGGGAAAAAGGTAACAAACCTAAAGGAAGCAGAAAGGTGAAAATTTACTCAACTCTGAAACAAAGCCACCCTGCCAGGGTAAGCTGAGCCAAACAACCCGGCTGCAGGACAGAGAACAAAGCAAGAAAACCCTTCACAGGAGGCCAAGCTCTGCACAGCCCCAGGCCATGAGTAGCAGAGAGCAAAATCAGGGAACTGCTTTCACATAACCCTGAAGCTACTGTTACACAGAATGTATTCTAGACACAGGGGACAGCACAGTACCAATATCTAACAATATGGTGGTGTGCACGTTAAAACACCCTAAAAGATAAATTGAATGTGACATGTTCACACAAAAACTAAATCACAAAATAACACAAGGAAAATCTGGAGGTGATGGATCTGTTCAGCGCCTGTTTGTGGTGATGCATCACAGGCTGCGTGGGTGTCCAGACTCAGTCAGGTGTGTACACTAAATGTGCACGGTTTCACATGTCAACATTTTAAAAGAATAATTCTTAAGTAGAGGGTCTGGGATACAGATGCGATTCACTTGGTAGAGGGCTGTCTAGCACACACGAAACCTTAGATTCAATCTCTAGTACCACAGAAACAGGAAGTGGTGGTACAGACTTGTAATCTCAGGTAGGATTAGGAAGATCAGAAGTTCAAGGCTGTTCTCAGACAGATGACAAGTTCAATACTGGCCAAACAA